TGCTCTGTCCAGGCAGTGCCGCTCTATCTTGCAGAGATGGCGCCGGCAAAGATCCGGGGAGCGCTCATCATCATGTTTCAGCTCGCCATCACTATGGGGATCCTCTGCGCGAATCTCATCAACTATGGCTCCCTCCAAATCCGGGATTGGGGCTGGCGCCTCTCCCTTGGTCTCGCCGGAGTACCAGCCAGCCTCATGACCATGGGCGGATTTTTCTTGCCCGAGACTCCAAATAGTTTGATCGAGCGTGGGCGTTACGAGGAGGCTCGCCGCCTCCTCACGAAGATCCGCGGGACCGAGGAGGTGGATGCCGAGTACGAAGATATCAAAGAGGCAAGCGAGCTCGCAGTGACAAACCCTTTCAAGGCCATCTTCCAGAGAAAGAATCGCCCCCAGCTCGTCATGGCGACCATGATGCCATTCTTCCAGCAGTTCACGGGGATCAATGCGATCATGTTCTACGCCCCGGTGCTCTTCCAGAAGCTTGGATTTGGCACCGATGCGTCGCTCTACTCAGCCGTGATCACTGGCGCTGTGAACGTCATGGCCACGCTCGTCGCCATCACCTTCGTTGATAAGTGGGGCCGCCGCGCGCTCTTCCTGGAAGCTGGAGTCCAAATGTTCTTCACCCAGGTGAGAGATGGATTGGTTGCTTCTCTCTCTTGATCCATCGACTAAAACTCTTTGCACGATCATAGGTGGCGATTGGGTTGATCTTTGCGATCAATACACCATTGTCCAAAACTTTTGCCGTGATCGTCGTGATCGTGATTTGCATCTACGTCTCATCCTTTGCATGGTCATGGGGGCCGCTGGGATGGCTCATTCCCAGCGAGATCTTCACACTGGAGACGCGGTCCGTCCGCCAGGGAATCAATGTGGCTGTCAACTTCCTCTTCACCTTCGTCATTGCGCAAGCTTTCCTCACAATGCTATGCCACATGAGGTACGGGATCTTCTTGTTCTTCGCAGCTTGGGTGTTGGTCATGTCCCTCTTCGTCTACTTCTTTCTTCCCGAGACAAAGAGTGTTCCCATCGAGGAGATGACCAGCGTTTGGAGGAGGCACTGGTATTGGAAGAGGTTCGTTCCAGACGAGGATCCTCCAGCTCTTCCTTCCTATAAGCGAGATCGGTACTGATCAATCGAGCTAGACGATAAGCGAGGAGCTTTCACTGCCGAGAGGAAAAACTCTCTAGTACCTCTTGGATGTTCTGTCCTCTGTGAAACCAAAACCTTAGATTGATTGTAAGCTTTTGAGTAGAAAAAATTACCACGACGATGGTATCAAGGGGCTTCCTTCCTTGACGAGCAAGAAGACGCGCTCTCCATCGCCACGGGAGATTCGCAGGTCCTCGTCCAAGTAAGTGGTGAGCAGGCACGCCGCTTCTTCTTCTTGCAAGCTGGAGTC